TGCTGTTTTCAGTCTAAAGTTCATCTCAATTTTCAGTTTTTTCTTTTTGTTGTTTTTTGAAAGCAATTTTTTTTGTACTAAATCTAACGCAAAAAGCTCATTTTGTGCATTTTCTTCTAGTTTTTCTCGATATTTTGCTTTCCAAGTCGATATAATTTTGGAAAAGTTGTAATAAAGATAGACTACATTTTGGAAAACTTGCTGTCTCAATTTTTGTACTAAATTTAACTCAAAAGGCTTATTTTACGCAATTTTTCGCTGTTTTTTTTTTGATATTTTGCTTTCTATGTTGATATAAAAGAAGAAAATTTCTAATTGAGTAAGTTTGAGAGAGTTTTTGAAAAACCTGCTGTCTAAAGGTCAAAACCCAACTTAATTTTAATTTTTTTTATGTTTTGTATTTTTTTTAAAACACAGTTTTCTGTATTAAATCTGACGCACAAAACTCATTTTATGCATTTTCTTGCAAGTCGAAAATGTAGAAAATTTCTAATAGAGTCCATTTTAGTTTTTAGTTGTCTTTTGTGTTTTGTTACTCTTTTAAAATACAATTTTTTATACTGAAGACAGAAAAAGCTCATTTTACACATTTTTTTGAAGTTTTTTTTGATAATTCCCCTTTCCAAGTTGATTTAAATCAATCAACTTTCTGGTAGAGTAAGTCTGATAGATTGGCTAGATTTTAAAAAGCTTGCTGTCTGAAGGTTAAAACCCATTTCAATATTCAGTTTTTTTACATTTTGTAATTTTTTTGAAGCACATTTTATGCTTTTTCTTGCATTTATTTTTCGATAATTTTGCTTTTAAAGTCGACATAAATCATGAAAATGTCTGTTAGAGTAAATCCGGGAGAAATGAATTACATTTTGAGGAACCTGCTGTTTCCAATCTCAATTTTCAGTTTTTACGTTTTGTTGTTCTTTTAAAGCACAATTTTTTGTACTAAATTTGACGTAAAAAGCTCATTTTACGCATTTTTTGTAGTTTCTTTTAGTCGAAAATCCAGAAAATTTCTAATGGAGTAAGTTTGGGAAAGATGGGTCACATTTTGAAAAACTTGTTGTTCTCAGTTTTTAATTTTTCTTGTTTTGTTATTTTTTTGAAATACAATT